ATTTAGAATGTAGAGCCAACATGGCAGGAGCAGAAGCAGCACTTGATGGCAGAGGTCTTCCAGGAGGACTGTTCCCAAGCCACACTACGATGATACTAGCAGAATTGGTGTGCGTTCTGCTGGTGTTTTGTTGGACAGTTTCTGACATCCATCAAGTTAAACTAGAATGCAAGAACATGCTTATGAGATCTCAAGATGCCGCGCGCGACATTTCATTAGCAGGAGAAAGCCCGGCAAGTGTCGGCAAAGCATCGGCTGGCTCCGAGGCGGGGGTACTGTCTCGTCTGGCGTTGCCTCTTGCTTCCTGAAGCTCGTATTCTCCCTGGGGTTAGTTTAACACCAATCTGTTCGCATGCCAAGATCCCAACCAAAAAGACAAAGAGTAGTAAACAGGCAGATGTTCTCGCGGCTACAAGCACTAATTGCAGGTACTCTCTCTGTCTCACGCACCCACACCAGCACAGTGCGAGGCCCCCAAGTATAGCTTCGGCATACAAGATCAACATAGACAGCCCCTGTCCACGCGAGAAGTCTTGACACAGACCCTTAGATTCCGATTCCGGGACCCTGAAGATTACGGCCCCGGAGTCTTTAGTGCTTGCAGCCCCCAACCATAAACAACAGAAAGACTCGACGATGCCCGACCCCGGCTTGAACGTTCCAAAATCCAAACCTTCTCGCCCAGCGCACTCCGAAGGCCCTGGCAGGCCATTGACTTCGAGCATCTTCCAAAGGCGAGCTTAGGGTTTAGGGGTTAGGGTTTAGGGCTTCAAGGATTTAAGGATTGGGGTTTAGGGCTTAAGGTTTAGGATTTAGGGTTTAGGTCGGTACCTCAACTGATCTCTCACAGTCCTGCGCAGTCAGGACCGTTAGGCTGAATAGGCTTCGTAACGGATACTTCCATGGAGTTCGCGAGCTTCTCTCGGGTTGTCGCCGTGGCCTGCCAACTCCAAATCGGCGTCGTTTTGGGTACCGTGGCAGCATTCAATTTCACCAAGGAAAGACATCTGCACATGTTTCGGATTTGGTATGTCAGGCACCAGTACACAAAAAACGAGTTGGTAAAGCCGGGGCACTAGCAGTGACCGCAGCCAGCTGAAACAACATTGTAGTAGCATCGGTCTTCTTGCTTTACGCATGAGACTCGCAACTATAGCCGCCACTCCAATTCTGTCTGCGGACCCTCACCCCGTCGAATCGAGACCTCCTGCAACGTCCGCTCTTTCGTGTGGCGAGACCAGCAATGACCAACTCTAAGGAAGTTGCATCACACCGTTGGATTCCTTGCCCTTATTTATGTGGACCGTGGATGATGTAGCTTTTTCAAGATTCTGCTCAGCTTGTTTTCAGCCTTCTGGCCAGCACAAGATCAGCTTCATTATACCTTTGTTCCAGCTTTAAACCTCCTTTTGTCAAACGCTGTTCCGCGGCCATTGCTGGGAAATGAACGTTCCAACCCTGGGTAGGTCTAAGTCTAAGTGGGAGCAAAGCTTGAATCAACTTTCCGCAATCCGAAGCAGCCCATGCTGCCGTGCAGATTGTCTGTGAGCGACAACACGATTGGCAGATGGCAGCAGAAAAGCGTGCAGAGGAGGTGCACTGCACCTGTGGTAAGGAGTAAGGGACATGCTGGGATTGTGGTTAAAGGATCTATCGCGGAAGTGTTGAGCAGCGCAGAGCTTCAGTTCCGAAAGGCTGAAATCCGCACTGAGAGACTCAGACAGCCTGCAAGTTGTCTTGCTCGCCGTACCCGACTTCATTGACTTCATATCATAGAACAAGTTGATGCAAGTCTGCTTGTTTTTGCCTGCTACCATCGCCTTCTGCCAGCAGGCGAGGACGGAGTTCACACTGTACCTGCGAAAAGCCTACGGCAACGAGGTCTGGATATCAAGCTTTGGATCGTGGCTTCGCAGCTCAAGCAGATGTTCCTGGGGTTTAAAGGCCCCAGCTCAAGGCTGACGTATCGCACATGAGTCGCAAGACGGAAAAGTTTCCGCCGTGCGGTTTTCGATTGGGAGTGCGATGCAGGTTCGAGCGTGGCGCCGCGCACTGGACCCCAATGCCACGTATCGCCGGGACACAGAGAGGGCTGAGGGTTTTCACGTCAAGACTATGTTTGAGTCCGGGTCCTCTCTTGAGCGGCTCCATCTGCGGCCGTCTTGCAAGCGCTTCATTAGTTACTGATGCCAAGATAGCGCGGCTTGCAACAGTTGGATTCGGGCGTCGGTGTCTTGCGGGCTGGCTGCGGTGATAGCACTTCCGATTCAACTGAGTTGAAGGAGCGATGCTTGCAACTACATTCGCTTCCTGAACACTGCCCCTCCTTCCCTCTATTGCGATTGGCACGACTTGTGGCCCTGCACACTACACGGCTATGCGCTGCACAGGATTTCGGTCTTCCGTCTGAGACCTGCAAGTTTGCCCTATTGATGGAGTTATCCTCGGAAAGACTGCGCAGCACAAGCCAGACTTGTAAATCCTGGAGCCTGAAGATGCAGCTGCTTTGAGGATACTCTGTGATTTGCGCTGAGCATTGAACGAGATGGGCTGGATTCGGTATTCCAAACTTACTCATACTTGCGATTTGCTACCCTGACCCTCGAAACCTAGGAGCCGAAGAACCCAACGCCCTGAAGCCCAACAAATAACGGAAACATACTGAAACTGATATTAAAAAACCATCAAGATAATATTTCGAACCCTATAGAGTGAATTTAGGGTGTAGGGTTTAAAGGGTTTAGGTCATCCCCCCCCATCAGTTCTGCAGCCCAAGGCCTGACCCTGAAGGGCCTGAGGAAGTTCTTCCATGCGGAAGTCAACGTCCGCTTGGTGTCTCAGAAAAGGGGGGGGAACGATTCAGGGAGGATTCGAGGCCTAAAGCTTTCAGGGCCTTCAGGGCACAGGCATTTTGCGGAGTGTTCACGGACTAGGGTTTGCGGAAGGTAGAGGGGAGGAGTTTGCAGGTTTCATAAGGCTCCCCTTGCGGGGTTTCGGCTTGACTCGAGTTGCCCAAAATATTCTTGTGCTGCTTGATGTATGTAGCTACCAGAGCCCACTCGCCCACCTCCTGTAGCACAAAGCCCGGCAGCGAAGACTCTTGGTACTGGTTTTCGGTTCTCCCCTGCTGAACCACAGGCCTGCAGTACGCAAAAAGGCTTCGAGCGCGTGGATAAGGCACCGTAGGGCCAGCCTAGCTGGGCACAGACCGAAGCAGGTATCGACAAAGCAGTGGCCCACTGTCGTTGATGCTTCTCTTCATCGTACATTTCAGCACCACTCGCCTGTCGATGGTGTCAGAAGCATCAAACCGATGTTGCTTCCGGCACCTATCTCCCCTATGACAATTCGAACTGGTGCAGCGACAGTGGACCCAACGTAGGCACCTGACTGAGTGGCCTAGCTCCTTCCTCAATACATGCTGCCAAGGTTAGTGGGTGTATTCTGGCTCTAATGTGAGAGATTCCAAAGATAAGCACCCCGACGGAACCCTCCCAAATCACGCATTGCCAAGGCGTAGACCAAGGAGCCTTGTGGAAGGCCCTCGACCAGGACCACGGCTTGCAGAGCTTCCCTTTGAGCTCTTCCAGTACTAATAATGGTATTATACAATACTAGTAGTAGTAGTAGTAGTAGTAGTAGTAGTAGTAGTAGTAGTAGTAGTAGTAGTAGTAGTAGTAGTAGTAGTAGTAGTAGTAGTAGTAGCAGGAGTAGTAGCAGGAGTAGTAGTAGTAGTAGTAGTAGTAGTAGTAGTAGTAGTAGTAGTAGTAGTAGTAGTAAAAATAGTTCTAATAATAACAATACTAATAGTGCCGGTCTCACGGCTGGGAGCAGAGAAGCCGAGGAGGTGGGAAGTGACACCATCGACATGCGAAATTGTATCCTCCGGTTAGCTGCCCAGGCATTTTGTACTAGGGAGGTGCTTCGGTAAAGCAAAGCAAGCTTGTTGCTTTGTGCGAGAAGCCTGACTCGTAGCTTGCAGCATAAGGTGCATGCTCGGGAAGGAATCCCCATCGTCTGCAAGACTGTAAGACAAGGCAGGCACTGATGCCACGACAATGGTCACAACACAATCACAGCCATAAGATCAATAAGGACTATCATCATTATTGTTAATAGAAATATAGTACTAGCTGAAACTTAGAATCAGAAACCCTCCGGCCCTCCAAAGGTGCATTTTTTCGCAAAAGCAGTTCCTCCCGTCTCACAGTTGTTTTAGCCCATGCTCCGTCCTGCTGCTACCACCAGCCTGCACTGACCGCGGTTAGCACGTGGATGGGTTCCATTTCGTAGAGCAAACTGAAACAATCCTACTGCGGCGTCTCGGTGCAGAGAAAGGTTCGCCCTGGGTAATTACACTTCTATCCATTTCTAGATTGTGAGCAGGCTCGCATGCTGCTCACGGTCGCCGCAGGATGGGGTCGGCCATGTCGGCATTGAAGACGTGGCCCCGCGCCACAGCCATGTCGGGAAACCCAGAAAATTAGCGGTTGAGCTGACTTGCCTGGCATGATCGTTACCCCTCGTATCATAGTTGTGATTTTGAGGGATGGCACTTCTCTAGGCTGCTCAGGGTGAAGACGGTGCTGACCATCCTGCTGATGGCGATGATGGGTGAGGGTGGAGATGATGAATAGGATGGTAATGTTCATGATTCATGATGCTAGTGATGACCTTCCTCATGATGGCGGCAAATAATGATCAATGGTGATTATGACGAGGCTGCATGGTGATGAAAAGGATTGTGGCGGTGAATCTGCATACTATGGTGATGACGGAGACAGTGATGATGATGACGACGATCATGACGACGACGACGACGATGAATATTAAGGTGAAGATGACGATCACAATGAAGTTGGTAATGATGCCAACCATGGTGTAATATGTTGCTTCTTCCAGATCATGCTCCCTTTGCCGCGACTTCTGGCCGCAAGTGATTTTCCAGTAGGACTTTGTTTGGCACTGTGGTCAGCCGTCTACTGCGAGAACCCCGCGCCATGAGCTCCGTCGCTTCTTGCGTTGGTGGCTTCGTGGATTCCGCCCCTTGGTTCTTCAGTTCTATCGAAGCTTTGCAAGCAGAGCTCGTGCAAAGCAAAGCGGAATAAGCGTCGGGTTCGTGATGGTCAGAGAACGCTGCATTGTGACTCGTGGTTGTAGCGGTTGCGGAATAGTCCCTCGAAGTGCTGCTGGATCTGAGGCGTGCGATGGCATGACCTTGTCGCGCTGCAGGCTTTCGCCGCGTCCGGGGCTGGAGGCCACCAGGGAGGGAATCTCATATCCATTGCGACGGGTCTTCGCCCATCTCAGCACGAAGTCGTCGGTTGATACCCGTCCCCCCCCCGCCCCCCGCCTCCTCGCCGACCTCAGGACGGCTATGACCTTGGCTCGACATACCAACGACCCCAAGAGTGGCTCGTGGGATGTCGCGTTCCAGCACCACCTGGCCTGGAGGCCATCACCAATTTCGGGTTTTGAAGGGGGGGTACACGAGTTCGTTTTGCATAAGAGCTCCGAACCAGAAGCAGTCGACCAAGGACGTCTGCGGTGTGCCGCCGATGCTTTGCGGAAGCAGAGGCAGCTTCGGTCATCCTGAACTCTGTGACCGCCCTTGCGTGTACATGTTCAAAGGTGCAGGGTGCCCTTCCGGTATGTTGTGTGGCTTCTGCCACCTACCTCATCGTTTGGGGCGCATCAAGCTGGACAAAATTCGCCGCGGCACGCTCAGCCAGATGAGCGACCAGCAGCGTCTCCTCATCTTCCTGCCGCTGGTTCGACAGAGGGCTTCAGATATGGGGCTTCTTCCCGCGGTCGCGAAGATTGTGGAATTGCTCGAGGCCGAGGTGGTGGATCCGCAGGTGACGCCCAGCGTTTCAAGGCCGATGCGTCAGCTCGAGAAGTTCGCGGCACACATGTCCCTGATGCAACTCATTGGCTGCTGCATGCACGAGATTCCCGACACCGTGCAGATTGCTTTGACTCAGGTGAGATCCCAACTAGCCCCTCCTCAAGTTGTGGCCGGCCATCGAGGGCCGTCGGTGCTGCTGTAAACAGGTCACAGAAGGTCAAAGCCTCTGGAAGGTAATGACTTGGACCAGCCCGGAACAGCTAATGCTGTGCCTCAGCTGTACACATTGAAGGGGCCCGTGCCGCATGCACGCTTCTGTGTGAAATGTACTAGAAGCCTGATAGGACAAGAAGTCAAGATTCCAGTTTGTTTGGATTGTCGGCTTGAGAGACTGAAGCCACTTGTTGCCTGTCATTGTTTTGGTGCTTACTTGTATACCCGAGAAGTACTTCAATTCATGAATCGCCAGTCAGTCGTGGAATCCCATAAGCCAGCAACGGTCTACCGGCCCGTGCCAGGTAGACGCGAAAGGTCATGTTTCACCTTGCTGCAATGTGCGTTCAATTCGCACCTTTTGTCCTGGTCTTTCTGCTGTCGTCCGCTCGTCGCATTTGGAGTGGATGTGGGATGCTTCAGCTGTCGTCCGCTTGTCGACATGGGCTGCCTCTGAATCCACATTTTAGCCACGGCTTGGGCACATCGCTAATGGACTGCCTCAAGCATGATGTGGTGATTGTTTCGTCAGTAGTTACTACATCACTACATGACTTAAAGGCAAGTCTCAGCCTTTGTGCTTCTTGCTTCTGCTCTGTCGTATCATTGTGAATGTTAGCATCTCTTTTGCAGTTGAGGGGTGCCAGCGGCTACATGCCGCTGTTCACCAGAATTTCAGAGACTGCGTGGCATTGCTTGGCTACGTCTTGCCGGAGCACAACTTACGGCAGCCGTCTTGCTTCACGAACATTACAGTAGGTGGTCGAGTGTATAAACTCGTGCCTGCTCGGGCAAGAACGTCCAAGCGTCGCCTGAAACGTGCTGCAGGGGAAAAGTCGTTTTCGATCGTAATGTGGCGCACGGTCACTTTGCATCATTCCCCTGGATGCATCTGCTACTGTCCGGTCGTCCTATTGTACTGTCTTTTCGGGATGCGCCAGTTTTGGGATCTGTCGCATCGCTGCTGGAGTGCCTCACGCACTTGCTTTGGCGACGAGAACGCAGAGGCAAGTCTCAACACATGCGCTCTGCGCGTCTTGTAGCATGTTGCACTCTGTGTTCTCTTGTACATGTTGGCTGACGGTAGCTGAAGGCCGAGACCGCTTGTTGCAAGCACGGAGGCACCGCAATATCAGAGAATGTTTGGCGACATAACTTGGCGAACTTAGTTATGACAGACTTCTCGCGGAAACTGCGGACTCTTGGTTGAACAAAAAACCGCGTGGTCGGGCTCAGCAGGGGAGAGCAGCCAAACATTGCCTGAAGGGTGCTGGAAATGAAAGGTCAATAGTTGACCTTGGTGTAGTGCACAGTCACTTGTGCATCATTCTCCCGGATGCTTCTGCTGCTATCCACTCGTCGCTTCCGATGTGGTCGTCGTCGGGATGCATCCAAATACATATTTCAACAGCGGCCTGGGCACATCGCTAGTGGACTGCATTGCGGCCTTGTGTGTGATGCACTTGTTGCGTGACTACTAGACTACATGACTTGGGACGCAGAGACAAGTCTCAGCATGTGCGCCTGTCCGTCTCACGGCTATTTCATACCGATTCATACCCGTTCGAAAGAAGTGCAGAAAATGAGCGATTGCTGTCGACAGTGACTTGGTGGTCGATTTGGCACTTAAAAGCCGATTGAAGTCGTTAAGGCTTCTATAGTAGAATACATCATACTTGGCAACCGTATGTTGGCCCCCAAACCTCCACAGTAATACGCTCAAATGTGTGTGTCCTGATCTCCATCCTGAGGTGCTCGCACATTTCCGCCAGTCGGGGGCTGATGTGTTTGGATTTAGGGATCAGGGCCTAGGGAAGTTGGAAGGTTAGCTGGTTATGTTCGTTTACGGGTGAATCAGGCTCGGTTCCGGAGGCCATGACGCTCGGAAGTTATGGACCCTCAAGCTATGGCCCACCCCCCTTTGAGGTTCATATTGCAGTCGCAAGGTTTGAGAAGGTTTCGTGAATCCTTAGGCCCCCACTGCGGATCCTCGCTGGGAAAGCCATGGACCCGCAACGCTACAGGTTCTGAAATCGGGTCCCCGTTAAAGCTGCTTGTGCTCATCCTGGCCCCTCGATGTGAGATCTTTCGTAACACCATTCAAAGCTCAGCTAAGTCTGCGCCCTATAATGTTAGTCGAGATACCTGCAGCACTTCCAAGCAGAACACCAAGCATCATCGATATGACTAGCTCATGGCCAGCTGTGCTTCCTGCGGTCGCATCTCATTGCAAGCAGTATTCAGTAGCCCTCGAAGCATTCGTCGAAAGGTTTCTCCGGGATCGGCTGGGCTCTTGCGCCTCAGCCTGGGATCATCCAGCCGCCGCGGCCCTCAGTTGGTTAAATTAAACCTATAGGGCCTTTGCGACTACGGGTCTGGGGGTTCCTTACTTGCAGCGCTTCACCGCTGACGATTTCAGGGCTGCACAGGGTACTACTTCTACTACTGCAGCTGCTGCTGCTCCTGCTGCTACTACTACGACTACTACGACGACGACGTTTACCACTACGACTACGACGACTGCTACTGCGACGACAACAACAACTGCTACTGCTACTAGTACTAGTAGCAACTAGCTACATCTAGCTACTAACTAGTGCAAGAACAAGTACAAACACAAGTATGATTACATGCACTAAAATACTAGTTACTAGTACTGGTACTAGTACTAGTACTAGTACTGCTCCTGCTACTACTGCACTCCTACTGGTACTGTGACGACGACTACTACGACTGCTACCACAAGGACTACTACTACCACTACTACCACTACTACTACTACTACTACTACTACTACTACTACTACTATTACTACTACTACTACTACTACTACTACTACTACTACTACTACTACTACTACTACTACTACTACTACTACTACTACTACTACTTCTACTTCTACTTCTATCACCACCATCCATCACCACGCCCGCCGCGACCACCATCATCACCAACATCGACGACGACTGCCTACCACCTTTGCCACCAATATTTTTGCTGCTACACCTTGACCATGACACGGCAGAATCTCGAACCCAATACGTAGTGGCGGGATTTGCATAGTAGTATCATAACCTAGTAGTAGTCAAGTCGGGGCAGCAGTAGAAAGACCAGCAGCAGCAGAGAGCAGTAGTCAGTAGTCGTCGTCGTCGAGCTGGTCGGGGTAGCGGCGATGTGCAGTCATGTTGAGGCATGCTGTGGGGCCTAAGCTGTTCATCCAGTCTGCACCAACCTGACAAAGAGTCATAGTGGCCCGTGAATTTCTGAACTGGACATGCGCGGCTGGTCCCACCACAGGCAGTTGCGGCCTGCCTCAGCCCCCAGCGAGACGGGAGGAGGCCTTTTGTAGGGAATGACTTCGGATCAGCCGGCCTTCCGACATCGCCCTGGTGCTAGCAAACGGCAATCCCCACTTTCATGGTAATTTGTTGCTGTTTTTGCCTTTGCTGCATGACCGTTCCAGAAGCAGGCATCAGAAGCTTGAGCCCAGGTGTAGATGCAACCTACATGAACTTGTAAATTGTAAGCAAGGCTGTGGAAGTCTACGCGGAAGCTCCTCCTCGGGCCTTTCCTTAAGGCCACGGCCTCTTCTGAGCACGGCCTGCGCGAAAGATAGGTCATCGTTTGTTGCACGGGTGGGGGTTCAATTCCGTGCCGGGTGCCCTTAGACAATCAAAGTTCAAGGCGGCACGACACGAATGGCACGCCCGCTGCTGCAAGGTCATTCGAGAAATTGGCTGGCCGCTCGTGGCAAATCCAGATGCCAGGCCGGTGCAGTTTGCGGGGTTTTCAAGGCCGGGTATCGTTGGAAAAGCTTACTATACGAATTATGAGGGATCTGCAAGGGTTCTGATAATGTCACAAATAAAGGTGTTGTGTTCTTGTCCTGCCATCACCAGCCAGGAGCCTTCTCTTGGCCTCACTGGACTACTTCGGATGCGCCTTTGTGCCCGGAGCTGTGGGATTTTGTGAGGGTCCTGCGAGCCTCGACCAGCCCCAGTCGCGTGAGGTCGAGGAGTGACCTCGAGTGGTTGGACGGATGGCAGCCTCCGGAGTCGAGGTCTCAGCCCAGTAGGAAGCGGTCGTTTAGTATTATTGATAATATAAGCACTATTATAGTAGTAATTTTTAAAGTAGTGATAGTATGAATATAGTACCATTATAATGATAATTACTACAGGAGTTGTATAGTACTATTAAAGCCGAAGAGCCCCTTTTAAAGGCTCCTTCTGCGGCTCTTGGGCCGAAAGGAGCATGGCCTTCGAGTTCGGACCCAGATGCTGTGAGCTTTCTCTGAGCCTGAGAGAACTACCTTGTGCAGGGAAGTAGACTTGTGCCTGAGCTTCCCAGCAAGGTTCGGGCTGGAAGTATCTGTTGCGACCTAACAGGCATGACACGGGTCCGTTCCTCATGTCATTAGCCCTGCCTTGCTTTTCTGTAAGGTGGATGAACGCCGAGCCAGACGAGGAGGTCGATCTTTCTGAGGATATTTGCAAGTGTCATGCTCTGGCGATTTGATCGGCCTATCTTCGGAGCTTCGACTGGAGCCCTTCCCGAAGGAGACAGTGGTAATTTAGGAGGCTGAAGAGTTGCCAATCAATACTGTTCCTTGGTACTGGGATTCATTGTTGCGTAAGAGTCTGCTACAATCCACCCCAAACCCGGGATGGGGATGTACTTGTAGAGCTGCCGGAGCGTCGCCACCGCAACATTTGGAGATCTTTTTGCCGGCGAACAAGAAGCTGGTTAGACGGGCAGGCGCTCCCAATTCCACGACAGTTACGGGTTGTACAGTATATAATCTGGGGTACACAACTCAGCATTAAGAAGACTGACTTTCCTCGGGCAAGGCTGTCGAGTGCCTGCGTGACCTTGTCCAGAAGAGGCTGAAATTGTCAAGCCTGAGTTCAGGTTCGCATCAGTTGAAGGTCAATTTTGGGGCAGGGGTTGCCCACGGATGGGACTGGTATTGTGGACTTCTGAAGTGTG